ATCCACTGGCTCTGGATTTGGGAGCAGATTCCCTACCTGTGGGCATCCCTTGGCTCTGGATTTGGGAGCAGATTCCCTACCTGTGGGCATCCACTGGCTCTGGATTTGGGAGCAGATTCCCTACCTGTGGGCATCCACTGGCTCTGGATTTGGGAGCAGATTCCCTACCTGTGGGCATCCACTGGCTCTGGATTCTCGGGCAGGCTGGTTGGCTGCCCCTTTAACCTGCCAGGTGATGGGGCAGCTGATCCTGGAAAGGCTTCCCAGGCACAGAAAGGACGGGAAGGTCCTCAGGAACCAGCCTGACACCCCCCCCCCGGTGCTGCCAGGCAGGGTGAGGGTGTCCAGAGCCTGCAGGCAGCCGTGGGGCAGAGCTGGGGGCAGCTGTGCTGTGCCAGCAGCAGCAGTTTGGTCCCACTCTGCCCCTCTGCCCCTCAGATCCAGACCTTCAACGAGGCCTGTGTGATGGTGCGGAGACCGGCGCTCGAGCTCTTCGGGTACCTGAGGAGCACCAACTTCGCCCACCCCGCCGTCAGATACGTCATCTGTATCTTTGCTCGCCCCCTGAGGGTGAAGTTCAGGTGAAATCCGAGCAGCCTGTGCAGCGAGGGGGATGTTCTGAGGCGGTTCTGCCACCCTGGGCCGTGCCCGGCGCGGCGACTCCCCGAGCGCCTCGGGGAGGTTTGGGGAGTTTGGAGCTTGGAGATCTTCCTTCCAACCCGGTCTGGCTCGTGGCACGGAGCCACAGAGGGCTGTCAGGGGGGCTCCTGATGCTCAGGGGGGTGGGATACAGGGAGGAGGATGGGATGTCACCCCTGCTTTGACAACCCCTGAACTCCCTGTGTTGCCTTTTCTGGCGGAAAAAAAAAAATGACAGCGAGGTGTGAGCTGAAGGGGTTTTTTTGGAGACTTTCCTTGACAGTCCCTACTGGAGATGGTGAGAGGGGGACAGGGAAAACCATGACCCTGTGCCACGTGGTTCACTACTGCTCCAGGCAAGGCTGGCTGGTGCTGCACATCCCCGATGGTAAGGACGCTGCTGTCCCCTCCCAGGGGAAGCTGTGGGGTGGGACCTCAGCAAATCACCCTCATTTTCGCCTGGGAAAAGGCTTATAAAGCACAAAACCCCCCCAAATAGCGTAATAATTACAGTTATTTTCACCTGCTCACGCGGGGTTTGAGTCAGTCCCCAGCAGGATAAGGACAGGCAATAAAGCCTCCCCTCTCCCCCTCCTCACCCCGTCGTTCCGACTGCAAAAAAAAAAAACAACCAAAAAAAAGATTAAAAAAAAAATGCAAACCAGCTGTTGTTTCCTTTTGCTCCCAGCTCATCTGTGGGTGAAGAACTGCAGGGAGCTCTTGCCCTCTTCCTACAAGAAGGAGCGGCTGGATCAGCCTCTGCAGGCCTCAGCCTGGCTCAAGAACTTCAAAACCTCCAACGAGCGCTTCCTGAGGGAGGTTGGTGGAGCCTGGCAGGTTGTTTTGCTGCCCCCACTGCCCCCCCCCACCCCCACCCCGTGCTGGAATTGGGGTGGAAGAGCTGGGAATGGCTGGTGGGGGTGGACGCTCCTCCCGGGTTCTTGGGATCCCACCCGACACCCACGGGATGGACAAGGGCCAGGTCCTGCCCTTCGGCCACAACAACCCCCTGCAGCCCCCCGGGCTGGGGACAGAGTGGGGGGCCAAAAAGGGAGCTGGGAATTGGGATGGGATTGGTGTCCAGCTCTGGGCCCTCAGCTCAGGAAGGACAGGGAGGGGCTGGGGCAGGTCCAGAGAAGAGCAGCGAGGCTGGGGAAGGGTCTGGAGCACAATTCCCGTGGGGAGAGGCTGAGGGAGCTGGGAGGGGGCTCAGCCTGGAGAGGAGGAGGCTCAGGGGAGACTTCCCCACTCTCCTCAACCCCTTGCAGATTTTAAGGACAGACTGGATGTGGCACCAGTGCCACGGGCTGGGAACCACGGCAGGGTTGGAGCGAGGGCTGGGCTGGATGATCTCGGAGGGTTTTCCCAACCTGGCTGATCCTGTGATTCCATGAAAGAACCAGGAATCAGTTCCCCCCCCCCAGCCTGACCGCAGTTCCCTTCCCACAGATAAAAACCCAGAGGAAATACGTGTGGGGCAAACGGGAGAGCACCGAGGAGGGCAGACCTCTGGGGGAAGTGGTGGAGCAGGTGAGGAATAACCCGCAGGAATCATCCTGGGGGTCCCCAGCTGGCGCCAGGAGATCCCCCTGTCTGTGTGGGGAGCAGATTGCTCCGGAAAACGGGAGGGGTGGGAGTCCTGGGGAAGGGGAGATGTTTCCCTGTGGATCAAAATCATGGGGGGATGTGATGGATCTCTGTGTGTTCCCTGTGTGTCCTCTGGGTCCCTGTCCCCTCTGTGTCCCCCTTGTCCTCTCTGTGTCCTCTATGTGTCCTGTGTGTCCCCTGTCCCCTCTGTGTCCCCCTCATCCCCTGTGTCCCCTCTGTGTCCCCTCTGTGTCCTCTGTGTCCCTTCTCCCCTCTGTGTCACCCGTGTCTCCTGTGTTATCCGTGTCCCTTGTGTGTCCCATATGGCCCCTGTAGGTGTCCCCTGTGTGTCCTAGTCCCCTCGGTGTCCCCACTCTGTCCCCTGTGTGTCTCCTGTGTTCCTGTGTGTCCCCTGTCCCCTTTGTGTCCCCTGTGTCCCTCCTGTGTGTTCCCTGTCACCTGTGTCCCCTGTGTGTTTCCCCTGTGTCCCCTGGGCTTCCTGTCCCCACTGTGTCCCCTGTGTGTCCCCCTGTGTTCCCCCTCTGTCACCCATGTCCCCTGTGTCTCCTGTATCCTGTTGTCCCCACTGTGTCTCCCCTGTGTGTCCCATGTTCCTGTGTGTCCCCTGTCCCCTCTGCATCCCCTCTGTGTCTCCTGTGTCCCCCTGTCCACCCTGTGTGTCACCTGTGTCCCTTGTGTGTCTCTTTTGTCCCCTGTGTGTGTCCCTTGTCCCCTGTGTGTGTCCCTTGTCCCTTGTGTGTGTCCCGTGTCTCCTGTTTGTCTCCA